CTATTGCCCTGATATACGGACTCTTCATCAAGCCTTTGCCCATAGTCGGCCACTGTGCACCCTGGCCAGTGAACACGCCCAGGATCTGTACTGGCCGCGGCAGCTCTTTGGCACGGGTACCAAAAATGGAGCCAGTACCTCCTTCCGACGATGCCGCCAGTAAGTCGTCAATCTTGGCTTGGAGGTCATCCGCCGACTTTGCCGATATGCTGGCTCGGATTGCATAATGAGATCTTCGTGCATACAAGGTGTAGGAAAGATTGCCGAGATCAACAGCAGGATGAGATTGAAGGTATTTCGAGTAGTAAGACAAGACTCCTCGTAATGCACTGCTAGATGCAGCTGAGAAGTTGAAGGGTGAGAACAGCGGAGTGGACAGAGTCGTACTGTCCGGTGTAGGGGTGCCAGTGGAAGGCAGAAAGTTCTCGATGATGACATGCGCGTTCGTACCTCCGAAGCCGAAGCTGTTGACACTGGCACGCCGAATACCATTCGCGAGATTTGGCCATGGTTTGGAGCTTGTCGCAATCTCGAGATTAGTGTAGAACGGCTCCACAGCAGGATGAAGTTTGTTGAAAAGCAGATTGGGTGGTATGACGCCGTGCTGTACTGCGAGAGAGGCTTTGAGAAGACCAGCCAATCCCGCAGTACCCTCGGTATGACCAATGACGGTCTTGATGGAGCCAACGTAGAGTGGATCGCCCTTATGAGACGTGCTATCGCCAGGGTGGAAGAAGGCTTTGCTGATAGCCTCAGCTTCTTTTGGGTCGCCAGCCGCAGTTCCGGTTCCGTGCGCCTCAAAGTACTGGCAGCGCTGATTGGGGTCTTTCGGATCCAGCCCAGCCTTCTTGTAAGTCTGCTCGATGAGATCCATCTGTGCAGAAGCACTTGGCATGGTGATACCTTTCGTTCGACCATCCTGATTAACTCCACTCTCTCGAATGATGCACTCGATCTTGTCGCCGTCGGCGAGCGCAGTGCTGAGACGCTTCAAGATCACAGAAGCTACACCCTCACCGCGCGCATACCCGCTAGCATCAGCATCCCACATGCGGGACCGACTATCGGCCGACAACATGTGCAGCGAGCTCTCGGCAATGTACTGCCCGGACCCGAGGATCATGTTAACTCCCGCCGCAACCGCAACGTCCGAATCGCCGCTTCGTAGCAGCTGGACTGCTTGATGGACCGCGACTAGGCTGGAAGAGCACGCGGTATCGATAGTCATGCAGGGGCCATGCCAGTCGAAAAAGTACGAAATGCGGTTCGACATGATACTTCGAGCCGTTCCTGTCGGAGCATAGGTTGGCAAAGTGTCGACATCCTTGTGCAGATGATCGTGGTAGTCGGCACACATGAGTCCAACGTAGACCCCGGTACGAGAGCCGATCATGGATTCCAGCGGCATTCCCGCCGCCTCCAGCGATTCGTAGACCACTTCCATCAGCAGGCGCTGTTGTGGGTCAATGGCGGCTACTTCGACGGGCTTGATATTGAAGAACCCCGCGTCGAAGTGACGGTGGTCCTCCTCGAGAAAGTACGACTCCCTAACATCCGTCGTTGCGTGGTGGTTCGGGTCCGGATGGTAGAAGTTGTCGATGTTGAAACGATCCTCCGGGATGCGCTTGAGAAGATCGCGCGGATTGAGCAGAAGCTCCCAGAGTTTGGACGAATTGTTCGAAGAGCCAGGGAAGCGCATGCCGCTTCCAACAACGGCGATGGGCTCTCCATTGCCGTGTGAAGTCTCGCGGTGGGCAGTCATTGCGATGGCAAGATTTCGTATAGCTTAGGACGCGGTGTTGAAACTCGACAATGATCACAGACGCGCGAAAGGATTTGGTGAGGCAATGTTTTCTTGGTCAAGTAATCCGTTTCATTCGTACTATCGAACTACACTACTACCTACTAACTTGCATACAAATGCTCACTCAGGGCTGACCCAACTATCCTGTGGCGTTCTCGACTTCGGCTTTTCGTGCAAACACCAACATTCGAGAGGATCTGGAGTCGTTGCTATCAGGCTGATGTATTTCGGGGTCGGTGTCAGACTCGTATATACAGCCAGTCCGATTCGGGCCTCTACATGGAATCAGTGTGCGAAGAAAGAATCCGGAGCGGATAAAGATGCTATGAAGAAACTGTAGCCTGATCGGGCCAGTACCGAGCATGCAAAGTCGGTACTTTTCTCTTTCGATATGGGCAACAAAAATACCGAATACTCTGCTGGGCCACGGTATCGGTACTATCCTGTAGTGGCGCTGAGGCTGCACCCGCTTGTAGTGAAGAAAAATCGTAAGTACCGAAATGATGACACAATATATAGACAGATAGGTCTTTTTTCCACATTCTTGCCCATTCGACCGTCAAACACGACCCGCAAACATACTTTCTGTTCATCTCTTCCTATCCAAGCGAGCACGCAGTTGTGACCAAGTCCGGCGAGGCCGAATCGAGTCGTTGGTCCATCGGATCATCCAGGCAAGGACACCAGCATCAAGCATAGTAAGTTCGTTCATCAAAAAAGGCAACGTGTGCAACATGCTAACCTTATCTCTTCAAGGCTTTCTTCACTTTCCTATAGAAAACATGCCGTCAGGACCAGTCATAAGTGACTGGATCTGCAAGTCGCTAGTCTTCTTTCTCGCTATTGCCATGCAAGCGCGCCTGACCACGAAGCTCACGCCTGGTTTCTCTAAAAATCTCGAAGAGAGACTCCCGGACCACAACAGAGTGCTGTTTTCATGGTGGCTGAACCCTTCGGATCAGCAGCTGAAAGCTTTCATGCTCGGCGTCAGTGCCTTCCTCTCCGTCGTACTCTGGGTACCGAGCCTCCGCGGTATCGGGCTGCCAATGGGCGTCGTCTTGTCTATAACAGGGCTTTACTCTGACTTGCAGTTGAAGGAAAGCTTCATTCCGCACACTGCTCTTTTGTTAATGTGCTGCGCTGCGCTGTATCTGGAGTAGTAGAGAGGGGTATTATGAGGGCCATGGATATCGTGCTGGACAATGTACCATGCACTTCGGTGACCTGGCGTTATCGATGTAGCTGTGCGCGTGCAATATTTCTCTTTGTCGGGTATCCTATCAATAAATCATGAGCTCTTGGCTTATATAAGCTGTATGTATGCCAATCGTGTATACCGCCTCTCCCCACAAGCTACGAGCCTTTCATCATCTAGTAAGAAAGTTTCTTCGAATCAAAGAGCCTCCGGCAGACGGTCCGCTAGCGCGAGGCTAGTGAGTGGGTACGGAGGTTGGGGCGCAAACGATCAAAGCTTCATCCCTTAAATACCCGTGAACGTGTGCAATCATCCGCTACAAAGCTCGTATCGTGAGCATATCGCACGCCTAAAAGGACCTTGTTGGGCATTGAGAGTGGTTCAAAATTTCTTTTTATACCCGCCTTGGCCATATATTGCGAGCTTAAAGATTGTAATCTACTGCCCCCACCCGTACTCCGCCCTCTCATTCCCGTCCCCTTTGACCCCGTCACCCACATCGTCCTCGTCAACCTGCTTGCAATCATCCATCACAGCGCTTTAAGCGCAGCAGTAATAAAGCACAACCAAGCCGGCAGATCTGTAGTCCAAGCTCTGATCCAATTCATCCGAAGCCAAGACTCCATGGAGATGACAACATTCCCATTTGGAATGTTTTTCTCGATAGCTGCTATGCGGCGCAGAGCCGTTGGCGCAAACAGCATATGAGCTAGACTGAAGAATAGTCCCCATGCATACCACATCGTCGAGCCGAACTGATGTGCCGGTATAAGCAGGTTGAGAATGCCGAGAAGGTAGCCGACGGGGTAGAAGACGATCAGCACCCACTGCCATCGAAGGCCGCCCCTAGTCCACCAGGCGGGAAGAATAGAGTTTGCTAACGGGCGGATGGGGTCCTGCACCCAAGTTCCGAACATCAGGTGCTCGTCGAGGGCGAACATGAGGGTCATGGAGGATACGAGCGCCGGACTGAGGCGGAGAAGCCGGAGAGCAATCTCCGCGAGTGACATGGCTGGCCGATGGATAGTGAGTAAGAATTCAATCTTGGTAGAGTTCATGAAGCTGATTTCCGTGCTTCCAAATCAAGTAATCCTTGACATTTGCGACGCTTTGGAGATGATAGCTGGAAGGTCACCTTGTTGCTCGCAATTTATCCCTGCAATTGCATCAGTTTTTCTGCTTCCGAAGGTGTGTGGGACGTGTGTTGTGGGAAAACTGGAAAGTCCCGAACACCTGGGCACGTCTGACCGTCTGACAGCGCGTGCATATCACGCCACTCGGCTACCACGTCCCAGAAAATCCACCGAAGCCCATTCGGCTCGAATTACCCCCTTGAATCTGGGAAGCGTCATATCCACGGGCGTGGTGTATGTTCAGTAATGATTCGTAACACCTGAAGGCGTCTTAGAGTTTGTGGGGGTATCTTGCCAAGACTGAGTGCCAGAGAATACAATTTGTGAAGTTTACAGAAGGCAGTGATACCTTATCTAGCGTTTTATTAACGGTATGTATGAGAATCTATTTGCACCGCTCAATGTTGTCACACATCAGTATCTTTACACTGGCTTGTACACAAGCTCATGTAGTCTGCGAATCTCCTCCTTCAGCGCCTTGGTCCCTGCTCTATCTGCCGAGCCATTTCCGCATCCTTCACTTTTCAGCATCAGCTCGAGGAGGTGCCGGGGGATAACACTGCCGCGAGTATCGCTCTCGCATCCATCGCCATCTGAGCCGGCCTCGCGATCATTCGGGTAGCCCAGTAAACGGCCAATTCTATCTACCATTCTAATTACAGCTTGAATAAGAACAATGATCTGCAGGTCCGGATCGGGAGGCAAGGAGACGTCAACTATGTTGAGGAAGGAGATCGTAAAGAGATTAATCTGGCGGCGTGTGGCGAGTAGCGCTGCTCGAATGGCGGAGAAGGTATTTCGACAGTGGTGTAGGAGATTTGCGTGGCAAGACAGTAAAAGAAGGCTCGTAGGCATGTCAACGCTACTGCTATGAGACGTCTGGTGCACTACAGCGAAGTCAACACTGCTATCGGTTCGACGCCTTTTTAGCGGCGATCGGCCTGTCGTGTCAGACATGTAGCTTCTTGACTCATCAACGTCCAATCCTTCGATTGGACTCAGCCAACTACTGGCTACAGTGCTAGACTTGCGATTGTCGTGTGAGTCGTAGATAGCCGAGTGATTGGGTCCGACGATGTCGACGAGCAGCCTGTGGTAGGTTTGAAGGCTTTGCGTCATAAAGATGACAGTATCGCAGAGAGTACGGTTCTCCTCTGGTGGTGTAGCCAAAGCTGTCAGACCCAAACCCGAGTGGATGTTCGTTGACCCGGCCCCTGTAGAGGTTGCGGCCCCCAATTGTCGGGACAGCTGCATATTCAAGTCTGACAACTCTTGCATTGTCTCTTGGCGCATGGGTGAAAAGCAACCGCGTCCGTTGAGTGGCTCGGTAGAATCGATTGTAGGTCGTTCGTCTTCCGTGAGTGTTGGAATAGACTGGCCCGTGGAAAGATCCATCGTCGGAAGGAGGAAGTGTTCGGTCGGTAGATTCATCGAATCGTCTTCGAGGGTGGCTTCCCCAGCGAGTGCAAAGTCGAAGGGGTCCAGGTACTGAACTGTGACACTTTGTAGGGTTGGGTCAATCGGTGTATCGTCGAGATCATGTACTAGCCAAGCGTCGCTGTCCATGGTAAAGTCGACAGCGGTTCTCGTTTGAGATACAGCGTTGGGAAGAGGTGATGATCGCGTGGGTTTGGACGGGTCGTGAGCACTGTCGCTGCTCTCTCGAGACTGGTCCTTGTCTGCCCGTCTCGGTCTACCCATCCGTATCCCGGTATCGATGATACACGTTGCACCGGCTTTCTGGCACCTCTCACAAGGGGCCTTGGAATTCGAGCGCCGTATGCATCGTAGCTTCTGACCTCGACATCTGTCACATGCCAGCTGTTGGGACTTCTCTTTCTTTGGGGTCTCCACAATAGAACCCGACTTGCAACCCGAGAAGCAGCTGGAAGAATCTAGACGTGGCATGTTGGGAACAAAGAAACGTCCGCGAGTAAATCATGCGAGGACATGCTAGGTCGGTAGCACCTAGACAGGTAAGGACGAGCGATGGTGATAGTGCGAACTATATGCCGTGACTCCCCAATGCATGAATTGAGGCTAGTCTTCAGCTACAGAAGCAAGTGAGACTTCTCGGCAAGCTTGCGATATTGCTATGACCAGCTTACGTGAGGCTAATGATGTACAGCAGAGAACCCTGTAGAACACGAGGAAGATGATAGGACTGACTCTATTGTTGTCTTATCCCGCAGAATAGGTTCTTATCGCAGGTCCCAGAGCGGCGTGCTGCTGCCAGGCAGAGAGTTGGTGGTGGAGACCCAACGACCACTCAATCAAGAAACCTGCTCTCCCGAGCGTTGAACGAGGAGGAGCCGAATGCTAGCTGAGGTGTGCAGCTGTGGCATAAATGCAATGTGTTAGTGGATGGAAGATATAGCCAAAGTCTCTAAGGACACCCGTTTGGCTCCTCGTCCAAATGGCGGGATACAATGGGACTTGCCGTGAAGGATTCAAGGTCGCCGAGACTTTTGAACTTGCAGGACGCATGGCAAACCATTCGTTCATTAAGCGAAGGCGTGGCAGTACGACCCGAAGGTGCGACCCAACCTTGAAAGCATGCGTTACAGTGCGACCCCAAACGCGGGATACGGCGGCGGGCCGTTGGGCCACCCGTAGGAGCCACCCGTGGGCTGCCCAGGCGGGTGGGGATCTGATTGCGAACTCACGCCAGGGGGCCTCACATGGACTTCTCCGCGACGGTTTGATTAAGGCTTTATCCTATCTTCGTCACGCTAACAGCCGTCGTCATCTATTCCGTCATTTGCTCGTTGGATTTAATATGTATATGAGACATGCGGGTGTACCTAGACGTGATGCTTACGGAAAGTGTTGCGGTGACCATCTGTGGCTGGAGATGTGGCTCAATATTACTTCGTGCCGGCGCTTTTGCCGGCACGCTAACCAAAACAAGGTGCGGAATGTATACACCGGTGGAAGGCAGCGAGGTGTCTACCAACATGTGTTTGGGGGCTTTGTCACACTTGAGAGCAGTAGCTTCCAAGCCACCTGCAGGAAGCCTGTCGATCGAGCTGAAATAATTCCACTTCCAACATCTAGCCGCGGAGGATCGCAAAACCCTGCGAGGTTGAGTATGGCCCACCCAGTAAAACCCTCCGCGGTGATGGCCAGGCTTCTTGCAGCCTTGGATACGTAGTCACAGACAGTTCCTCACATGCAACCAAAGGTGCGAATACTTCCGGACGTTCCATCAACTTCCTGTACCAAGGTTTCAACACAGCCCGTTGCCTACGCATCATCGTACTACAAACCTGATACCAACCACACGGTCAGCCTATCGCCCAAAAGGTCAAAAGATCCTTCCAACTGTCCTTTTTGTTGTGTGAGATGACACAGCAAAACCCAGCCGCTCCGAACTCGGAGTCAAATGAAGCTTCGGTCGATGCCCGGGATGCGACAACGGAAAAGAACCCGCCAAAGTTCCAAAAAGGTCCAAGATTCTGGGCCATCATGGTCGTCCTCTCATTAGTGAGCCTTCTCACTGCTTTGGAGGCCACAGTTACCTCGACGGTTATGCCATCTCTCGTCGCCGATCTGGGTGGGGGCGAAGAATTCATCTGGGTTTCTAATGCATACTTCTTGACCATGTAAGGCTTCTGCCCCAGAGAGCCTTGTGCTTAAGCGACGAACTCGTAACTGATTTAGATAGGACTTCTTTGATGCCCATGTATGGACAGCTCGCCAATGTATTCGGTCGTCGGTGGCCCATGATCATATCAGCGGTCGTCTTCATGATAGGGAGTGGCGTTTGTGGCGGGTAAGTTATCACACCCTTGAAATCCGACTCGCGATCCAATTTCTTCGTGTCAAGCTCGAAGTCTTTGCTGATGAGAAGATGAATGCGCAGAGCGACCAACATATCCCAAATGATCGGCGGTCGAGTGGTACAGGGGATTGGAGCAGCAGGAGTCGCCGTCCTCTGTGAGATTATCATCTGCGACTTAGTGCCGCTTCGAGAGAGGGGAACCTACATGGGCGCCGTGTTTGGCATGGTCGGTCTCGGTGCTGCTCTTGGTCCTTTCTTTGGCGGACTGCTCGTGAGTTACAGCACCTGGCGCTGGGCTTTCTACATGGCTCTTCCCATCGGCGGCGTTGCGGTCGTACTGCTATTCGCCTTTCTGAAGGTCAAATACGACAAATCTCAGACTTGGGCCACCAAGGCTTCGAGCCTCGACTGGCTGGGCAACGCACTTTTCGTCAGTGGTTGTGCTCCGGTCCTACTTGCCGTTAGCTGGGCAGGAGGAAAATATCCATGGTCATCTTACCAAGTCCTCGTACCGCTCTTGCTTGGGTTGGCCACGTTGGGGGGCTTCATCGTACTCGAAGGCAATGCTCGCCTGACGCCAAATCCCATCATGCCACTCCATCTCTTCGGCAACTCTATGAGCCTCATCGTCTTCCTCCTCGCCTTTCTCCACGGTATTGTCACTATGTGGGCGCTTTACTTCCTCCCAGTATACTTCCAAGGCGTTCTCGCAGTAGATGCATACAAGGCCGGCATCTATCTTCTTCCCACCATCCTCGCACTTCTCCCAGGCGCTATCGGCGGCGGGTTGCTACTCAGCAAGTTCGGTCGCTACAAGCCCATTCTCGCCACTTCCTTCGCCTTAATCGTCATCGGGTTTGGCGTATTCACGCTCCTGGATGAGACGTCGAGTGCAGGCGCGTGGGTGGGCTTCCAGGTGATTGAATCCTTTGGCGCGGGCTTCGGCATGGGGGCCATGCTCCCCGCGCTACTAGCCTCTCTGAGCGACAAGGATACAGCAGTAGCGACGGCCACGTGGGGCTTCATGCGAAGCTTCGGCGTTTTGTGGGGCGTGGCCATCGCCGGTACCACCTACACCAACCGCGCTGCGCAGCTGGCTCGCTCAGGTGCCATCAGTGACAAGATGGTAGCTGCTCAATTTATGACGGGCGGCGCATACGCGGCAGCCGAGGTCGACTTCCTTGACACGCTGTCTGCTCAGGTGCGTGCGCAAGTAATATCTGTACAGAGCACCGCGCTCCAGCGATCATGGCAGGTTGCCATCGCCTTTGGTGGAGTGGGCTTCATTGCTGCTGCTTTGCTGAAGCAGGTGCCGCTTAGAAGGGAGAACGACACTGAATTTGGCATGACAGACAGTAAAGACAAGCCCACCGAGGAGGAAGCGAAAGGTGCAACAAAGGCTGAGGCTCCAGCATCGTGATTCTATTACCTGAATGCCAACAGAATAGAATTTGATAGACCAAGGCAAACCCAGCGCTAGCTACAGGTATCGAAGATTGCGGGAAACTTCCCTGCTTCGATGCAAGCCACCGCATACATAGAGTCTTTCCTAGCGGAACGAACACTTAAATCCACAGCTCAACGATGTGCTAGTAACAACGGTTAGCTGATATACAATGTTCCAGAGCTTCAAATCAAAGTACACGAGGCAGAATGCATCGCGTGCCACCGTGAACTCCAGAGGACGGCTCATGGTTGGGGGAGTTAGTGATTTAGTAATTACTAAGTATTACTAAATTAGTAATACTAAGTAAAAAAAAGTTAGTAATTACTAACACTAACTTCTTACTAATAGTTAGTAATTACTAACTAGTAATTACTAATTTAGTAATACTTAGTAATTACTAAATTACTAATTAGTAATAAAAGACTTAGAGATTTTTATCTTTCTTACTTTATAGTATATATTTAAGTATAGCTACTATATATAATAGTATCTCTAATACTTTAAGTTTTATAATTATATATATATAATAGATATATTATTTATATATTTTATCTATAGTATATAGCTTATATAGTTCTATAAAGTAATAATAATAAAAAAATAATATTAAAATCTTTCTATAGTTGTATACAGCGAGTACAAGGTGTTTAGAAAATACACCTATAATAAGATTACTATATAGAGTTACTAACTGCGTATTATTACTCTACTCTATATTAATACTTTACTATAATAATATTAAAATCTTTTTAAAGCTTTATATTTAAATAACTAGACTAAGTAATATATTATTACTTTTAGTAAAAAGTTAATAGTTTATTCTATTACTTAGTATATTAATAAAGATAGTAATTATATAGTATATTATTATATTAGTTATAAAAGTAGTAGTTTAAAACTTTAAATAGAGTATTTTAGTACTAGTAAATAGTTATATATCTTATAGCTTAGTAGTTTAATATATATATAGCTCTAGAAAAGAGTATAAGTACTATATAGTAATTAGCTAAAACTAAAATATATAATTAATAAATAGTTAGATTATAATCTATATATAGTATAAAAAGATATAAATATTAATCTAAAAATAAACTTTTAATAAAGCTTAGAAATATTAAAATAAACATAATTATATATATAGCTTTACTAGTAGAGTTATATTATTAAGTATATATAAATAGTAGAAAGTAAGTTTAGCTTAAAGTATAGTTTAGATTAAAAGTTTTAGTTTAGACTAGTATACTTTATATAA